GGGGAAGATATAAGCTTTTCTTGTCACGATGTCATTTATTGTGATGATGTTCTCTTCTAGCCTGATGTTAGAATGAAATTGTTAGAAGTAAATAAGGAAATTATGAGTAATAATTACAATAGATAAATGGAAAAATGAAAGAATGTACCAGTGCTTTAGTTCTACAACTTGCTCAAATGGGGGATTAATGAGTATTGATGAGTTCATTTTTGTAGAGACAGATATTCCTAAATAGAGAGTCAAATGAGGTTTTGCATTTAAGGTCTAAATTCATATGTTTCGGCGTGATTTTGTACAAGGAGGAGTCAATTTACCATTGAAAGGAGTTATTCTTAATCTGTTGCTCACAACAATTGGTTTTTTGGTGATTGTGTTGTGGATGGTATTACATTCATTTGCAACGAAATTGTCCCACATCTGAAGCATGCATGTTTCGAGCCTATAATGTTTCAAATTTTATTTAATATGTAATAAATAAGAAGAGTTAATTTGGGTTTGAAATAGTAAATGTGTGATAAAAGTAAATGCTTTACCTTTCGTTCATGAGAATGACATCTTGTACTGTTGATTGGTTGTCACGAATTTGAATTACTCTTTTGGGGAAGATGTCGACTGCTATTCCAATGATGCCTATAAGAAATAATATGGGCTAGTAATGAGTATAGGTTGTAATTTATGTTTAAGATAGAAGTAATGAAGTGTAAGATGTTAATGGAATTGCAATTACTTACTGATTTCTGCATTTGTGTCCATGTAGCGCTGAAGATTTTCGAATGATATGAAGTTGTAAGTTGATGAAAGGAGGGAGTTAAATTGTTCATCGACTTCAACGATGTTGGTTTTTGCATTGATTGTCCATCGAATGTGACCAAGCTGGGCTCTATAGTATGTATCTGTTTCTTTAACTTGTGCATTTGAGATGAGGTATGTTTTGTACGGTAGTAAGGTGTCTTCAAACGTTGTGATCGAGCTGTCGAATAACGTGGCCTGAACTTTGTTTCCCTGCATGAAAACTAAGTTAAATTGTGTTTTAGAAGATAGGGTAGAGAATAATTTTAAGGGAAGGGAAATTTTTTGGAATTTGGAAATGAGGATGTTGATCTTAAATAATATAGTGCACTTTTGTGGTTTGTGATATAATGTATATTTTATGATTGAATTAGGAACGCTAGCTTCAATTTTTGGTGGTGGAATATGTATTATCCAGTGCCCGTTTCTATGAAGAATTTCTCTAGTACTCGAAAAGAAAATGGAGGACAGATTATCAAGAATGAAAAAACTATTGCAGGCCCAAGTGATATGAGTTCACAAAAAATCTTGTACTTGGAGTTGTTAAGGAAGGTGTTACAAAAATTGTTAAAGAATCTTGATTATAAATCAGCTGGCTATTGTTTACATAAGCATTTACATGGTCCAGACTGTTGAAAAATGTCAGAAAAGTATTATTGGCAGTAAGAAGAAATTAGATACTAAAGGTACGTTCCAACTAATGGAGTATTAAATGTTGGATAAACTTTTGTACTGCCATATTTTTTATTTTCATGTTTGTGTCAGGACAACTGGTGATAATTTAAATCTTTGACACGGTATATGACATGTAGTTGAAGATGCTCATTCTTGATTTGGTATGTATTTTTCAGGTGATTGCATTGTAGAATGATTAATTATGTCCATCAGTTCATGGTTAAAAACGTCTAGATTGCTTCTAGAGGTATGAGTTTCCTGAATATGCAGTTATTAAAGTTGCATGCATTTAAACCTGTGTTATCTGCTTTTAGTTAAGTTCCAAAATCTTTTTCACAATTCATTGTGGATCAAAGTTTCAAATAAAGAAATATATGATAATTCTTGTGAAACTGTTTACAGTTAATGTTGCCATTCGGTGAAAGAATGGAAGTTACCAGGTTGATGTTAGAAATGAGGAAATGAAGCTAGAGAAGATGAAGTGGGTAAAGGTTTTATTTGGTGTCTTATATATTGAGAGATTGGATGCGTAGTGGATAGAAATGATGAGAGTTTAGAATTAGTGGTGTAAAAGTCAGATTTCTGTTTTCAATATTGACTTGAAAATGGTTAGTGGGGGGCAAGAATTTTTTTTACTACTACAAGCAAATGTTTTTAGGGAATGGATGGGAGTAAGTGAGTTGCCAGGTGTTGATGTGGTTTTTTTGCAGGGGACAAGTGTTGATTCAGTAGAATTAGTGGGTTTTAGTGAAGAAAGAAAAATAAAAAGAAATAATTTTGCAGGAGATAGAACAAAAGCAAACAAATAAAAGAAAGGCTACAATTTCATCCTAATTGATGAAATTTACTGGTGCATTTTGCATCAACACTCTCAACTTAGGGATAGAAATTAGTTCTTTAATAAAAAAATGATACAATAGCGGGTATTTACATCGTCATTTCCACGTAATTCAAATGAAATTTAAATGAAAAATTCTCAGATCATTTCGAATACCAATTACTTCACTACCTAAAATCGCACAAACTCAAATGAGAAAATCACCACAAAATAAATCAAAGAATACTTACCAACTGCTTAGAAGATGATTCAGGTTCGCTATCAGAGTCCTCCTCAGACGCATACTCATCGTATGCGAACCTACCATAGCCCAAATTTGTTGATATAAAAATGGCAGAGAAGAAGAAGCGCTATTTCTTCTATGCCTCAATACAACAGAAGAAGAAGGCGTCGAAGCATAGCAAGTAAAACAAAACCCCCTAAATCGAATAGGAAAATTAGTTACTGAAAGGACCTTGATTTGATTTGGCATCATAACGTAAGCATTTCCACATCTGATGATGATAATGTTTGGCATTGCTAAAATCTGCTCTAAAATCCTCAAGTTGACAAACTGCACTGGTATGCTCCAAAAAATCCCAAAAACGAACACATCAAGAAATAAACCAAAAAATTAAATCTTCCAAACATCATCATTCATTATGAAAATATGCCTCATATCATGGCTTTTACTAATCTCCATGGCACAAAAAAAAAAATCTAAAAAACGAACACGTCAAGAAATAAACCAAAAAAATTAATGAATGATGGATTCACAGACTCAGTAATCAAGAAACAATTCCCTTTCTGCATCAGTAAAATAAAAATTGAAAGATGAAGCCAAATAAAAAGATGGCCATTTCTTTTTTTCTTTTTTTTTTTTTTGTTATAACGAAGTCATGGGAAAAGGATAGAAGAATCTTTTTGAAATGTGTGTTATGTCATTATATAAAAAAATTGTGATTTTTACAACCTCAGTTGGCTAGTGAACAAAATATAGCTCAATCCTTTTGATGATGATTTTTTTCATATTGTTGGAATGGGGGATATATACTTTACTTGCTACTATTTCAATTATGTGATGCGCATTTAGTATGGATCATATTCACATATACTCTTTGCTCTTTTACTTTAGTTGAATCCTCTAAGCTAAGAATTGGCATCCATGGCTCTATATGTGGAACTATATTCTCTTACATGATTTGATTCAACAATTTAAATAAAAATTTAAAAAAATAAAAATTAATGCAGGAAAACTGAACAAATATATCAACATTAATGACCTAACATATAGTACTCAAAGCATGGTATGATATTTTCATAGTAGAAAACAAGAGAAAGGACCAACAAATAGATAGACTCATCACATGATATCTTCCATCTGGATTATTAGGTGATGTTTGGAATATGCACTTACATCTCTCATGCTCAACAACCTCTGCAATCTGTTCTACATCCAAGCTGAAGTCTGATTTTTGAGACATTGCCAAAATTGAGGATATTGAATGAGAATGAAATTGTTTGGGTCAAGTTGACGCCCTAAAATTATCAGATAAGTAATAGCAGCTCACACATATTTGAACTAATAAACTCCTCAAATCAAGTTTTTTATACATCTAGATTACAATAAACACAAAAGCTTCACAACAAGTAGATGTTCAACTTCCTTGCTTAAGACCAATTTGCCTTAGAAAAGTGCAAACCATAAGCTATAAACACAAGTACAACTTTCTTCCCATAATAACTCTTCAATTACCCGAAGAAAGAGTAAAAACATAGATTTTCCAGTAACTATGAAGAGAAATATAGGAGACAACAACACACATCTAGGCATGTTCACACCCACCAAAACCAATTAAGATTTTCTTTTGTTCCCTCATGTTGAGAATAGAGTATAACGGGAAAGTGAAATGGAATTCAATGTTATCACATATGTTTATTGAAGAAAGCTACGTCAAACACCTATAGTAAACATCAAGCCCAATGTTAGCAGAAATATGATTCTAGCCATGAACTATAAACCCTCAATTTCGCAATGTTTATGGATTAAAACATCCCTAAACGTAAGTATGAGATTACTCTATCCAACATCGGGAAAAAAAATGGTCCCTTACCTACTTAAAAACATTCACTAATTATTTATATTCAACAAACAATAAACCTCATTATTTACATCAATAAAATATATATAAGCCTCACAGAATTAAATTCGAACCAACTCTTTATTTAAGAATCGAAAATTTAAGTAAAACCCTTAGCGTTAAATCAATTTTTTTCCTCATAACATCAGAATCCAATTAATTATCAACAGTTACTGGTGAAATATCAAAACTTTTTGGAGATGAAAAATTCTTAGCTACAACCAGGTCGGAGGCCCAGTTGGCAAGTTCTCTTTCCCAAATATTGTTTCATTATGTAAAGCACACAGTAGCAAGGTTGTGCCCTTGGGAATTATATATATTTTTAGCATTTGAATATTTTAAACATCGCCTCTTTCATTTCAGTTCTTTCAA